AAAAAAAAAAAAAAAAAAAAAACGCAACTAGACTGCCAACTACTACATGTTCTTTTTCATATGTAACCTGTTTGCTAGTTACTACCATGTAATTATATGGAAAATTGGGGAATATGGCAATTTTTATCTTAAAGGTACAGCTACTGCTTTTTATTCGGAAAAATTTGCACCTTCATTTTGTATGAAAATGTGCAAAACTTTTACCATTTTGCAGGAAAATGTGCAAAACCTTCATCATTTTGCGGGGAAATGTGCAAAAGTTGGGTAAAAGGAGAAGGCACTGAGAATACCTGATGTACTTGGATGGTTGAATGTTCCACATTTGCCTCAATGCTGTCCACGAATTCGCCCTGATCATGCACAATTCTCGCCAAATCTTTCATTATCTGCGTTACATCACTGATATCATGGTCCAACTGTCTCATCGCCTTAAACAGCAAAAATAAATATCTGCTAAGTTTTTCACTGTTTTATGAACAAGTTGTTTATCGGCTTTTCAGTCGGTAGGAAACCTGGTCTTGGTCTATAGTAGCAAGAATAAGGATGAGGCGATAATGTTCAACAAATACCAAAATATTTCTTAAAGTGGTTAAAGCCTTGTCCAGTGCTTCTGCCGGGAAAAGTTGAGTTCGTGTTCTCTTCACCAGGTGAAATGGACGTCAGGATCGCCAGCAGACCGACCAACAGGGGATGTAAAACTAGTCAACGTAACTGGACATTTTGCCAGCGGTATAAATGGGGGACCATCCTGTGACTAATAGCTGTTCCGGGCATTCAAATTATCAGTTATCTTTTGCTTATTTCAAAAATTCTTGAGAAATTTTCCTCCATAACAGTGTAAGAAATAAAATCGAAATTTCAGCCTTCTAGCTTTTCCGGTTGCCGATTTCCGCCAAAACTTTCGCGCGCTCATACGCGGACCTAGACGTGTATGAGGGTTGATACTGCGATCCTGCGGTGGCACTTGGTCTGGGAACCCACTCGCAAAATTTTGATGCCGGAGCTTGCTTGGGTGCCGAGCTGAAATACATACACACACGCACACACACACACACATACACACACACACACACACACGTACCGGGGTCGTCACAATATGTGTTTTCGCACTTGAATACATGCAAAAACGCATAATCATACGTCAGGAATAGCTCTGCTGACCAATTCTCGTCTAAGTTACTCGTGCTT